AAAATTGCGTTTGAAGCTAGCGTTTTATATTGATTCATTCAGTCTGAAGTTAATACCTTCGGAGCTCAAATGTATTTTGTATTGTGACCAATTTGAGTTAAGTGTTTTTTTTTCTTTTCTAGTTTTCTGAATTAGTATTTAATTTCTCTGGAAAATATACATAAGTGTTTTCCTTCATCAAAATTCTTGGACAAAGACACTTATTGTAAATTATTCAGAATTCTAAAGCCGGAATATTATTCTTGATTCATAAAATTCAAGAAAGAATTTTTGAAATAACAAGCACAATAAAGGATATAAAAGATGTCATCGCCTTTTATCTAGGAACTTCGTCGGGATTCGAATTTTGATTCATTTAGAACTTTTTAGTAATAGAACTTCTGTTTTTAAATTCTAGGATTAATTTTTGGATTTAATTCACAAACTGTAAGTCCTTTCCGTATTATTGACTTATTGTCTAAGGAATTAATTTTTTTGTTAAATTTGACAAAGCTTGTTGGCTTCACTGTTTTCTTTATTACTTTTGAACAAACCTAGATACGTCACACCTATGCTGAGTGAATTGCACTTTGTCAAGAATTATACAATGATTCTACATTTTTTCTTTGCATATATATATATATATATATATATATATATATATATATATATATATATATATATATATATATATATATATATATATATATATATATATATATATATATGGACTATGTTCTATTTTGACTACAGAAAGCCATTACCACATATACAAGAGATACATAGAGAAAGGGGAGAGAGAAGATTCTCTACAAAATCTTGGAAAAATTTTACTATGACAAAGTTATTGTGATATGCACAAGGGACTGTGTGTGTGTGTGTATGTGTGTGTGTGTGATTTAGATTTTTAACGTAGCTTTAACACTTTTTCAGTCATATCGCTAATATATATGTGCATTGTGACAGTTTATAGTGGTGTCTAGCACTGGGGCATCATGCCACCAATATGTGGCATGATGGCCCACCCAGTCAAATTTATCCTGACAACAGGTCGACCAGTTCTAACACTAACCTCTTAATGCTTAGCGCCATGCAAGGCAGCTATTAGTACCATTTTTGAAAGTCTTTGGTATGACTAGCCGGGGTTATTCTATTGCATTAGAACCTGCTCTAATAGGAAGCCAAGGCTTCATTTATGAAGACAATACACCCACTGTTGGAATAATTTCTCTATTGTATACGGATGAATTTCAAAGTTATAATACTGCACACTGCTATATAATAATGCATAAGAGTACAAAATACTACTTAATAATACATAATTATACATAAGAATACACAATGCTATATAATACTACACAATGCTACATACTAGTACACAATACTAATAATACTACATAAAACACAATATTACATAATTATACATAATACTATACAGTATCTCATACTACTGCTTAATGATACACAATACTACATATTATTTTATGCTCATTTTTGTCTAGAGGCATTTACAGTCAGACCTATGCAGTATTTTACGATATTGCACTAACGTATTTTTCATATCGACACGATTGCCCAGAAGTGTATTATAAACAAATCATGTACATTCACGTAGCAGACACTTTACCTTTTGGTTGATTAAATTTGTTTTTAAATGGACTAAAGCAGATGTTTTTGGTCAGCCATATACCAGCTGCTTTGCCACATTCCGCGTTAACTTTTTTGATAAAATGTTTCGGATTTAGGCTAGCCATAAACGATAGACTGGTCATAAAATTGCTTCGTCCCTACATATAACATGGAAGTGACAAGGCATAAACTGTCTTTTTTAGCTGGTAATAGAATGGTAAAAATATACTGACAGAATTATTTCCTGGATTTCTTGAACATGTACTTACTTAGGTCTGCAAATCCGAATTACATGAGCCATGTCATAGGTTCCAAAGCTTGATTACACATTTCGAAATTGTTATGTAAATTCGGCTACATTCCAAGTGAAATTAAATCTTCCTTGCTGCACTCAAAATGAAATGAACATCTATAGTGCCAATGATTTAGAGAGATCCAACAGATCATATCAGCGATTGTTACTTCAGCATGGTGCCTTCAAATGGGAAAGGTGTGTCAAAGAAAAAAAGTGGACTGTGCTTGATCCAAACATTCCATCAGCTATACTCTCAGTACCCCAAGGAAAAGAAATGTCGGTTCCTGATGCAAAATAATCATTCTCACTTGCGTCAGACGAAGAAGAAGAGGAGGTAACATCTAGTCTTGAACCATCAATGTCACATGGTCCATATTTTCTCCAATCCTCCTCCTCTGAACCACACCCCATAAAACAAGGTCAAATGAATGACTTTGCTAAGGATTTGGAACTATCCGAGAGTAAGGCAGAGCCAGACAAAAGTAGTTGAATCTCCTGGCAGATGATGTTAGGGTTTCCTTGTTGGGAGACCGTCAAAGGGATCTTGTCCCATTCTTCTTCATGGAAGGTGATCTTGTAGCCTGCAACAACAACAATTGTGTGATGGCAGCCCTCAACATAATTCATGATCGAGATGACTGGATATTGTTCATTGATTCATCTAAGGCGGGTCTTAAATCTGTTTTGCTGCATAATTTCAATGTTTTACTATCAATTCCAGTTGGTTATGGAGTCCATATGAAGGAAACTTATGAAAACATGAAACAACTTTTGAGATGCATAAACTACGATCAACATCAGTGGCAGCATTGCAGTGATTTGAAGGTTCTTGCTCTCTTGCTTGGTGTGCAGACTAGATACACAAGGTAGAGCTGCTTTCTCTGCGAATGGGATAATTGTGCGAGAGATTCCAACTACATCAAGAGAGAATGGCCACTTCGATAGTCATTGGAATCTGGGAAGAAAAGTGTTCAACATCAATAGAAGACTTTGTTTCCACCAGTGCATATCAAGCTGAGTCTGATGAAGAACTTTGTCAAGGACATGGACACAACACAAGCCGCTTTCAAGTACCTAAAGCCTCCCAATTAGTGCGAACAAATTTTCTCGGAAGTAAACAAGGCAGACAACTACAGGAAGTATATAGAAAACCTCATCAGAGCATACAAAAGCCTTTGTTGCAATGCACTCTCATCTAGATTTTTTTCCCACCGAACTGAGGAGCAGTGAGCGACTAGCACGGCGAGCATTTCACCGGGACATTGCAACTATGGAGAAACTATATCAGGGCAAATAGTGCCCATCAACAGATGCTCAATTCCATGAATACAAGAGACAGACAAGCCAAGACGTGCCGATTTGACATTATGGAATAAACTATGTGCTTATATATTTATTTTTTGGCTTTTGTTTCATAATACATTTTATTTATATAACCCTTTTCCTATTTTTGAAATTATTACATAAACAAGACATGTGAAATATTATCCAGTAAAGCAACCATAAGCCCATTAAAAGACCTAGGTTGACAATTTATGATTAAAGCTCTACTATTTACACTTTATACGTAAAATGTAAAAACTTAAATATCTTGGAAACAGCTGCCAATCAGTTCTTATAATTGTCATCTTTGTATTCAGCACATCAAAATCCATAAGAAATAGCACCAATTTATATCTGAAGTAGATGACTTGCAAACAATTGTAGACCAGTCTTAAGATTGATACAATACGTTGGTGCTGCTATAAGTAGCAAGGAAAAGAAATGACAGGAAAAAATGTTCGTAACTTTTTTAATTCATCAAAGAATGAATCGGTAGAACCACAACTACCTCCAGTAGTTGGGATACGACTTAAAGAAAGATGAATTATTGCATTAGGCAAGGTATATGGTGTTTACATACGTCAACTTTGTTTCAATTAAAATTTCATTGTAGAATTTCAGAGCAGACTTGTTTATATATATATATATATATATATATATATATATATATATATATATATATATATATATATATATATATATATATATATATATATATATATATATATATATATATATATATATATAGTAACATGGTTTTCCATGTACAGAATTAGACTGAAGTTTCCTTATTTTTTATTCAACATTGAGACAATGAGCCTCGTGGTATAGTTTCTCCACATTCACAAATTTCAGTGCAGAATTTAAGAGCAGACTTGCTTCTCTCTCTCTCTCTCTCTCTCTCTCTCTCTCTCTCTCTCTCTCTCTCTCTCTCTCTCTCTCTCTATCTCTCTCTCTCTCTATATATATATATATATATATATATATATATATATATATATATATATATATATATATATATATATATATATATATATATATATATATATATATATATATACGGTTTCCATGTACAGAATTAGACTGAAGTTTCCTTATTTTTGATTTTGATTCAACATTGAGCCTCGTGGTATCGTTTCTCCACATTCACAGGTAATTATTTTTTGGGTTCTTAATTTTGTTTCCTTCTCCAGTATAATAGCAGTATAATTTCATTATATTCCCACAATTTATGCATCGTGTGTATTTTGTATTTGGATGCTCCATTTCATCAGTAGGTTTAATTTTAACACACACACATCGACTACTATACCGTCTTGTGTCTTTTAGTCATTGCCTACTCAATTTTTTTTTCTAGCTCCAAAATGTGTAAACAGTGTCAGACGTTTTGTATTTTTTACTTCCACGCTTTCTTCATTTCTGTGTTTTGAAGACGTAATTTTGTATGTTGTCAGAAAAAAAGATAACTTCAACTCATAATTTATTTTCCGCATGATTTCAGGGTACAGAGTTGAATTTTAGTCCAAAAGTGTGTGTGTGTGATTTAGATTTTTAACGTAGCTTTAACAATTTGTCAGTCATATCGCTAGGATGTCTGCAGTGTGACAGTTTATAGCGATGTCTAGCATTGGAGCATCATGCCGCCGACATTTGGCATGATGTCCCACCCAGTCACATTATCCTGACACCTGACCAACCAGTCACAACACTAACCTCTTAATGCTGAGCGCTAAGCAAGGCAACTGTTAGTATCATTTTTTAAAAGTCTTTGGTATGACTCAGCCGGGGTTCTAACCCGCGACCTCTCGCATCTGAGGCGGACGCTCTAACAACTAGGCCACCGGAGCGGTTTTAGAAGAAAAGCAAATGTCCCTTACAACAGTTTTGTTTTCCTTAGAATTTCCAAGCTGTTCTCGATGTCTAACAAAGATAAAACGATTATCACGATTATCACGACGAAGTTGGAGACGATGCTGACTGAAATGGAAATCTTTCGAGGACACCGCGCACGGATATCTAACCCCAGATAATTGTTTTACTCTCTCTTGATTGTCTCCTTGTATCGATCATTTGGTAACTGAAGCTCTCTCTGCGAACCTGTAACAATGAAGCACCATTCTGAACCGCCATCATTAGCAGCAAAGCCTCCAATGGTGATTGAATTAACCCTGATCAATTACCGTATCCAAAAACCTTCGGTAGATCTCAGTGAATTCCTTTCGGTATAATAGATTAATAAAATAGTTGCGTAGTGCTGAAGAGTATGTGTTTAATACACAGCTTGATTGGTCGTCATAGTTTCCACCTTGCATTCATGTACTTTTTTATATACCTTGTAGTACCGTCCTAGAAGAAACTCCAACCTATGGCAAGCCACTATAGACCTAAATTGTGCATTTCCTGAAAATGCTGGCAAAATTACAGTTTTGAGAATTGTTATTTTAATTATCATTTTTCAAGTTATCTGTTTCAATTCGTTGTCAGTGACTTAATAGGGAATTAGGTATGGACATCGCAGATGCAGTACGCCAAGGTCTAACTTCCTCGCCACGGTACTTGCCAGTTTGGTTTCGATACGACAACATTGGATCCATCCTGAATGATAAGTGCCTGACCGACAACAAGTACTACTACTTCCACAAGTCTGAGCTGGATATTATACAGAGATATATCAATGTAAGTGTTTGATCATATTGAACCACATTTTTATGATGGTTTTAAAGTATTATTATTATTATTATTATTATTATTATTATTATTATTATTATTATTATTATTATTATTATTACTGCTACTCTTCTTCTTCTTCTTCTTCTTCTTCTTCTTCTTCTTCTTCTTCTTCTTCTTCTTCTTCTTCTTCTTCTTCTTCTTCTTCTTCTTCTTTCTTTCTTTCTTTCTTTTTTATTTGATGTACGAAGGCAGTTTTTCTTTAGTCCAGTATCAGTCCATCCCTTTGCAGGCGGTTTATTGAACTGGGTTTTTCTTAAAATTTGTATAAATTATGTAATATGTGACTGTCGAGTTTTGTGTAAATAAAGCTTCATGAGTTTTGTTTTTACATTTGACATTTTCTTTTTAAGAGAAAAATTGTAGTTAATACCTTAGCTTTGGAAAGAAGTATTAATGGTAGGAAAATGTGATTTTAGTAACGTGCAAACTTCATATTACCTGTGCATAGATAAATGCCTGTTTGGATTCTTCTTGATTCAAGCAGCTGGATTTGGTAGTTCGCAGCCAGCGAGTCCAATAGGTTTGTTGGATTTCCTAATTTCTGTTCTTTATTTTGATTTCTGGGCGACTGCAGACAGGATTACATCATTGAAGGTAAAGACGTGAGAAGATAAATGTCCAACCACAAAGCTCCTTTTCAATTTATTGGTTTGCCAGTCTGAGTTTATGGCATTCATTCTAATATTTAATTTTGCGTTTCTCCGATGTATTGGGTACCGACTTTATCAAGAAACAAAAAAATTAATAAAATAAATCGTCACGCTTTAAAGAATCCAAAGGAAACAAACTTGGCTTCCTTATGTCGGCCGACTTCATAAGAAAAAATCGGCACACTTAAAAGATACAAGCGTCAGTTTCCGGGGTTTGTTTGCTTTGTAATAAAATAAACTTTGTAGTTGATATTATGTCGGTAAGTTTAAGCAGAGTTTATTGCTCGCTGCCAGTTGTGTTTATTCATTACCCGGGTTACTATTTGTTTGCCATATATAATCATAATTGATGCCTGCATGGCAAATATTATTTGTTAAGTATTATTGCTTTATAAATCAGTATTGATAATTTGATCTGAAGACTTAAAATGAGAATGTTTTTGTGCAAATGCGTATATTGTTTAGCTTAAAAAATGTATATAAATATTTTAATTCGAATGAGAATGATATGCTAATTTGTATTTTCTCTCATATATTTGTACGTTACACATAATTATTTTTTAAGAATATCAAGATAGTTCGTTTAAATTTATTTTGTTCCCTAAAACCTATTTCTAAAACTTATCTTATATAATATCTACTTGTTTTTTGGAAAAAGGAACTTGTTTAACAATTGTTAAGTTGGGTCGATTTGTCTTTCGAGTCAGGCCGAATTGTCTTTGGGCCTAATTGACTAAAAACCGGCATAAATGTTGCAACTTTCCCATTACTCACTCTATTCGAGCCCACAGCTTGAAAACAATTGTTTTCTCCCGGCAAATAATCCTTTTCCCCATCTCTTTTGGTTACATCTATATGCAACACAGTGCACCATATTTGCTGTACAGAAACACGATCGTACGACATATCACATAGATATTAACGTGGGTAAATTAAACACTTGAACGGCTAGGTTGATTAGATTGATGTGGAGCTTAACGCCATTTTTTCAGCACACGATTCATTGCGGCCAGTATTATTGGTGGAGGAAGAAACCGGGAAATCCGCGGAAAGAACCACCGACCCACGAGAAGCTTCTGGCAAGCTTTCTTACATATTCACATTCGTCGAATTCTAGACTGGAACCCACGCAGACAGAGGTGAGATGGCAGTGATCCGTAACGGACAGCACTTTAGACCACTTGACCACTCGGGGCCCCAAGCGGATTAGAAGGGATAAATGTACGACACATCCGTTTTTGGCACGCGGAAACTACTGATTATTTATGGAGATTGCCGAGTAATTTTTCTTCTTTTACAAAAGCGGATTTTTAAGTTTAATTAAACATTTTTATGGTGTGCATACATAACAAATGCGTTTTGTTTATGACTATAATAATATCACACATTTGTACAACATATGTGGTCAATGACTTTTAAGTATGGATAGAAAAGCTGGTTTGAGCGAGATCAGTTGAAGTGATTTTACACGATTTAAAGGTTGGATAATGCTTGTGAATTCTCTCTCTCTCTCTCTCTCTCTCTCTCTCTCTCTCTCTCTCTCTCTCTCTCTCTCTCTCTCTCTCTCTCTCTCTCTCTCTCTCTCTCTCTCTCTCAATTAAGTAACTCCTAATAATGTTAGGAGTTACTTAATTAGGAGTTACATAATTTGTAATCTCCTTTGTATTGTGTAATTTTGGATGCAGTCATACTGGGTAAATCAACATGCACTTTAGTGAAATATACATTTATAAAAAAAAAAATGATGTTGAAATTCAATAAAATGAAGGCTTTTCCCTACAAAAGTTTTAGAGACAGAACCTCCTAAAATTGTATACAGATGATGCTTGATTTAGACAATACTTGAAAATGCTTGTTTAATTTCTGTTGCACATAATTCTTATGTTTTATTAACAGACTTTTTTTATAATGTTAATAACAGGAAATGGTTTGTCATCTAAAATTCCCGTGTTCCCTAGTTGACCTAGGAAGTGGCAACTCCATAAAGACTAGAAGGTTTATTGATGTCCTATTGAAATACCAAGATAAATTGAAGTACATTCCGGTGGATATATCGCGCGGTAGGTGTACTGTTTCCTGTATTTAAATGGCCTATAGTTGTGTAACAGCATATCACTGCATCAGACTTTCTTTACAGCAGAAAGGTGACGAGAGAGCGCTATCTCTCATTCTTTAAAAATATTTTAAATGTCATTTTAAGCACGTCAATTGGCTACATCTTGCAGACAAAATGGGACACAAGTGCCTTTCCCTCGAACTCGTTATGGGGTGCGTGCACTGGGTGTGTATGGAACCTCGATCGACATTTGGATTACGAGTCCGACGCTCTGCTAGCTGAGATACGGAGGGATCCAATTCGGATAAAAGTTTAAATAAGAAAACTGCATAACACGTACAAATGTGATATTGTAGATTTTGTTATAGCCAGTAAATTCGTTCATACGGAAATGTTTAACTCCGAACCACTGAAAATGATCGAGTACACCGAATTTTATCACTTGCTTAACACTGGGCGTTCTCCGTGTTCTACAGTGACCAATTTAGTAGTTCAGCGACTGCAAACTCAATTCAGTCCATGTGACTTACGTCTATGTACCATTGTTAGAAGTTTTACTGACCATTTACATATAAATTTGTTTTCCTGTTTCTCAGCTACACAGTAGTATAATAATTCTTTTATTTTAAATGAAATCTTATTGTAATCAGATCGTAGATTAGAGTATAATTTATTAGGAATCTGTTTCAGCTGGACACTAAGTAGTAAAAATGTCTGCCATAACAAACTAATGTTCTTCGTTTTCTGAAATTATTGGGAAAGGAATCACTGTATAAAGTTAAACTATTACTGGTGTTAATTAAATTCGTATTTTTAGTTAACGTTTTCTTTTTAAACAAGACTTCCTCTTCGAAACCTCCAATGCTCTGTCTGAGATCTACGCTAATTGTCTCATGGTGCAACCTGTTGCTGGTGACTACAGTGTTGGTATAGAAGAAATCGGGTAAATTTAAACTTTTTTTCAAACCATATTTTATTACCATTCTTACAATCCTATGGTCTTAAAAAAAAGTAACAAGAAAGAGTAAACATGGTCAAGTGAGTAAAGCTAGCTAATCAAGAAATAAATCACCATAGCCTAGTAAAACAAACCTCAATATGTAACACTTGATGTTTATCTGGATTTGATAGTACATGTACAACTTCATATTGAAACCCATGAATGAGTACGTTTTGAACATTGTCCAAGAATGACTCATCTTAAAGTGCAAACTTACGATTGACGAGAAAGTTTAGTATTTAAAATATTTTTTACTTAATAACCTTTACTAATTTACTGACTATAGATAACATATTTTTGTAATGAGGACTCGTTTTAGTTTCCTATTATTTACTGTCTTTTTGTTGATTGGTTAATGCGAATATTCATGAAGCATTCAAGACACTTTTGCACTGACAATTATGAATAAAA